ATATCTGTTACTCTGACACTGAACCCATAGCTGTCAGGCAAGAAAAGAGAGCAGCTAATACAGGACTTGATTAATAAAGAATTAAAGGAGAATAATATAATTAATGTCAATCAACACAGGTTTATGGAAAATAGATCCTGTCAAATTAACTGGATATCTTTTTCTGATGAGATTATAAGTGTAGTTTGATAAAGGAATTAGTGTTGATGTAATAAACTTAGAATTCTGTAAGGCATTTGACTTGGTATTGCATGACAGTTTGGTTAAAAAATAGGAACGATACACAATGAACACAGCACACATTAAACGGATATAAAACGGCTAACTGACAGGTCCCAAAATGTAACTGTAAATGGGGAATCATCATTGAGCGTGTGTTTTTCTAGTGGAGTACAACAGGGATTGGTTCTTGGCCCTACGTTACTTAACTGCTTACTGTATTTTTCACTCCATGCATCTGATGAAGTGGGTTCTAGCCCACAAAAGCTTATGCCCAAATACATTTCTTAGTGTCTAAGGTGCCACAAGGACTCCTCGTTGTTTTTGCTGATACAGACTAACAGGGCTACCCCTCTGAAACCTGTCACTTAAGATACAATCTGAACACACATAACACTTGTGATCACGTAAAGCACTGGGGTTAACTCTGCCCATATCTAGCCATCTGGGGCCTGGAATTCTCTCCTCTTGCTGGCATGACAGAGACATGCTTCTGGAAGTGAAAAGACCCAGCTATGCTGGCAATGATGTACCTCTCTCATTCATAAAGTACTCCACCAGGTGACGGGCCTCCTCTTGGATTCGGTGCTCCAGGCCTTTCTTGCCCAGCCCCAGGTTCCGCAGGGTCATCAGCCCGAAGCGTCTCTGCTGCTTCCAGGTGTGACCACTTGTGAAAATAATACCTGAGGCCATTGAGAATTGTTGTTTATATAAAGCAAAATCCTTCACATAGTAACAGTTAAATCTAAACTAAATTTTCTAACAGGAGAGGTAAATGCAGAAGAATGTGACTCCTAGCTGACCTCCTTTATCTGGCCACAGATGTGACAAGGATTGTGACAACTTCAGAAAAGTCCTTGATGTCGAGGGTTTTGTTGCTCTTATAAGAGAAATAGAAAGTGGGGCTTCAAAAACTCAGGATGCAGTTTTCCTAAATCATTTGTGATCCAAAGCCATGTAATTCTACAGCTGGGAACCTACACCCTAGGAATTCTAGAGAGGAGGGACTTCTGTGGGGTGAGATTTGCTGCAGTGCAAGGCATGAATAAAAGGGCAAGGCTGGTTGTGTTTGAATGACAGTGCAGGGATCTGACCTGAAGCCCAGCAGGTGAGAAGATCCTGCCCAGGTTAAAAAGCCACCACATTAGATGACTATCACAAAACTAGTACTGTGTAAAGCAGGGGTGGCCAACCTGTGGCTCCAGAGCCGCATGCGGCTCTTCAGAGGTTAATATACAGCTCCTTGCATAGGCACCGACTCCGAGGCTGGAGCTATAGATGCTAACTTTCCAATGTGCCGGAGAGTGCTCAGTGCTCAACCCCCTGCTCTGCCCCAGGCCCTGCCCCCACTCCAGCCCTTCCCCCGAGCCTGCCATGCCCTCGCTCTTCCCCCCTCCCCACCAGAGCCTCCTGCACACCGCGTAACAGCTGATCGCGGCGGGCGGGGGGCACTGATTGGTGGGGCTGCCGGCGGGCAGGAGGCGCTGCAGTTTGGAGTCGGGGGAGCTAATGGGGGGCTGCTTACATATTAGTGTGGCTCTTTGGCAATGTACGTTGGTAAATTCTGGCTCCTTCTCAGGCTCAGGTTGGCCGCCCCTGCTGTAAAGCGTATGTGCAATGGGAGTAATGCCAGCTGATGTTCACATTCCTGGCTGATGCTTCAAACAAACTTATTAGTCAGGATTTTACTCCTCTGTTCTATTCAGTGGTTGTTTGTCTTATTGATTAGTATCAGAAAAGTCACTCCGGTAGTGATTTTACCCATTTGCAGCAGCATTCCCATGGGGAGATGCAGGGCCGGCTCCAGGCACCAAGCACCCAAGCTGGTGCTTGGGGCGGCACCTGGAGGGGGGCGGCGCGGCGCTCTGGCCGCCGGGGGGAGAGCCGAGCCGAGCCCCAGCCGGGGCTCGCCGCCCTCTCGCCTCCCTGCCCCCGGCGCTCTGGCCGCCGGGGGGGAGACCGGAGCCGCCGCCGGGGCTCGCCGCCCTCCCCCAGGGGCTCCGGCCGCCCCCCCCCGGCAAAAAAGCCAGAGCCGGCCCTGGGGAGATGACTATGGAAGCAGGGAGCAGCCGCACTTAAAGGATCATGTGAACTTATTTTTTTCTGTATAGTTTATAAGGAAAGAAAATGTTACCCTTTCCTCCGGCTGTTTTCTGAAGGAAAGGGGTTGTTGGGCGGCCAGAGATGGCTTCAGAGTGGATAGTCAGGCCATCCTTCACAGTTGGGAATCCATTCAGTATGATGACAGGAATATGTCCAATCCACAAGGTGAAGATGTTCCCGTAAATCTGTGCCAACTAGAGACATCGTCAGTACCAGAAAACCACAAGTCAGAAAAACTGTGCACGATGAAACAACTGCCCAGCTTACTTCAGGACGCTCTTTGGTGGGGTGAGGGGGGTTGTAGAAACATTTGTAGTGAAACCCCAAACCATGGCGAAAGACGAGCTAAAGTCAGAAAAGTCTCATAGCTGACTATGAGATAAGACCATACTCTCTCATCCAACAGGATGTCTCAGCAACTGTGTCATGGGGATGCTGTTTAAATGTCTTGTACGGAATGGGATTAGAGTTACCTACAGGTGAATTTCACCTCATGATTGGACAGATGTCCCCAGGTGTAGAACGGCTTGTGCCTTCCAGTTAAGGGGACAATTCTGTGGTGTCTCTTCTAATACCCTGTAAACATTGCATCTAAAACACACCGAATAAAGGTGGTAACTGACATTCCTGGGAGACTTCTTATTGTCCC